CGCAGGAGCTGGGCCTGTACCACTGACTCCGGGGGTTTCCAGAGCTCTGGCCTGTGCCCTGTCTCAGAAGTTTGTCTGGGTTTGTGACGTGAGCTTTGTCACCCTTCCTAGTGCAATCCAGTGCCCCCACTGTCTACAAGTCTTGTCCCTCTGGTTAGGAAGCTCTCCCGTTCCCAGCCTCTGTTCCTGAGCTTGTTCCCAGGACAGTGTTCCTTCTCAGTCCTGAGGCTTTCCCTCCCTTGGCAGTTGTAGGGAGCATTGGGATTCCCTCACTGTCCACTTTGCAGAGCAAAACAAGGCACCTCCTGGTCTCCCTTTGGCCCCCACCTTGAGAGGAGGAAATCCCAGGAATCTTAGCAGCAGCGTGGCTCTTGTCCTGGGCTGGACAGGGCTCCTTCCCTGGCTGATGGATATCCCACATCCCCTGGGCTGGATGTGGCCCCTTCCCTGTGTCCCACATCTCCTTTATTTCCCCCCCTTGGAGCCCAGGACTCACCGAGGTGGTGACAAGGCCGAGGTCCTGCGTGTGGTGAGGCCATTCTTGCCTTCAGGAATTCCTGCCCTCTGGAGCTCTGTGGGGCAGAGCCTGTTCTGACCACACAGCCCAATCCCCGTGGGTTTGGCAGCTCTCCCTTCCCGAATTTCCCCAAGTGCCTCAGGAGCACCTGAGCCCAGCTTTGCTCTCCCTGTTCCTGCTGTGCCATCAAGGTCACCAGCCCAGGGAGGAGAAACCCTGCACCTGGGATGGGCTGGCAGGGACCCCCTGCTCCCTGTGGTGGGTCCCCAGGTCCCTGCTGTGAATCCCCTGATCCCAGCAGCAGATCCCCTGGTTCCTGCCATGGATTCCTGATCCCAGTGGTGGGTCCCCAGGTCCCTGCTGTGGATCCCCTGATCCCAGCAGCAGATCCCCTGGTTCCTGCCATGGATCCCCTGGTCCCTGTGGCAGATTCCCTGGCCACTGTGGTGGTTTCCCTGGTCCCTGTCATCAATCCCCTGGATTCTACCATTGATCCCATGATCCCAGCAGCAGGCGATGGATCCTGACCCCTGCAGTGGATTCCGTGGCCCCTGTGGCAGATCCCCTGTCCCTGCCACGAGCTGGAGCCCTCTTCCTCTGGGATGAGCCGTGGTGGCTCCGATGTGGAGGACACTGTTAGTGCTGGGATGAGGCCGGGTCCCCTCGGATCCAGGGGGGCTCTGCCCCCGCCCTGGTGCCCCCAGGGCCGAGGTGCTGGCAGGTGACACGTCCCCTCCCACGTGACAGTGACTGAGCGGGGCCGGGGCTGCTCCTGTCGCTGCTTTGCTGGGTGACAGTGTTGTCTCTGACCCTCTGGGCTCCTCTGGCCGCGCTGGCTCTGGTCACACCCGGGCAGGAGGTGTCACCAGGCCCTGTCTGGTTTCCCAGGACGCTCTCCAAGAACCTGGTGAAGAACGCCAAGAAGACCATCGGCCGGCAGTACGTGACGCGCAAGAAGTACACGCCGCCCGCCTGGGAGCAGCGCGGCAGCCAGCACTTCCCTGAGGACAACGAGGACGAGATCTCAGGTGGGGAACGCCCCGGGCAGGGATGGGAGCATCACCCACCGGGGAGAAGCCCCTTGTTCCAAGGGGAGCAGGGTGGGAGCATCCCCAGTGCTGCCCCCACGGGCTCCTCTCCCCGTTCCCGACAGCCCCAGCTCTTGGCTGCTGGTGGTGCCCAGTCAGAGCTCAACCTGCTTCCAACACAGAGGGAGGAGGGAGGTCTTTGGGCGGTGCCCTCGGCTCCTCAGGTGGAAAATCATGGATTTGAGGTGCAGGAGGGCAGGTGAGGGTGGACAGAGGAGCTAGACTGGTTTAGGAGTAGCGAGAGACTGGAAGGGATAGGAGCCCTGTGTATGGAAATTTAGAACCTTCCAGGTGGGAAGCCTGGAGGAGGTGTGGTGGATGGGATTTAGGGTTTCCATGGGGGATCCAGTCCCAGTTCTGCCCAGCGCTCTGGTTTCAGGTGAGGGAGCCAGGAGGCAGCTCCATCCCTGTCCTGCCCCTGCGGGTTCG